CTTAAGCTTTTCTTAGTTTCACCAAGACATATTTGTAGCTTTAATGTGAAGTCGAACGGTGTTCGACAGTCGGATATGTTGCCTAGTAAATGAATGATTATTAAACTATAGAATAGAAGGGCCTATTATTGGAAAATTCTTATTAATACAAAAGTAACTAACACTCAATCAAAAAATCAAACTTTGCTCGTCTAATTCTAAAATTAAAAAAAATTCCTGTGGAACATGTTCTTCCGATTCCTGTAAGGTTGCATTCAATATTTTGTCTTTTGAATATGAAGTTCCGTAGACAGAATTGACTGTTAAAAGAATGTCTAGTAAGTAGTACGAGCATCGAAGTTAATAAGAATCTTTACGATTTGATCCTTCTTTTTTTTCTTTCTATTCGTGAAACTAATAGAGAATTGATCTAACTTTCCAAGTTTTCTTTTCTTCTCATTGTATTCTGTTGGTCGAACTTCTACCTGATCAATGGGTTTTGCCAGACAAAGTTCCCAATCACTTGAATCATTTGATTGATTCATCCATGAATAAAGATGTTTAAAAAATGTATCTAATCCAGGATGATCTTGTTGATGAATTAATAATCGACATTGTTCATAATCATCATTTTGAGTAATTGAAAGAAATTCCTTCTTTATTGATAAATTATTTAATATATTATTATTTTGTAAAACTTTACATCTTTCAATTAATAATGAACATAAATGAAGAAGACTTTCAAGATTTAGTTGATTAGAAAACTCTTCATCTCTATAATTTGTTATTCCAATTGAATGAAGTAATGTTGGAATATCTGATAATACTTTTGATATATGTGCTGCTTCTTCGTCAGTATGATTAAGAAAAGAATCGATACGTTGAGAAATAATTTCATCGAAATTTTCATTTGATTGATGTATTGGAATTTCTGATAATTGTTGTTGAATTTTCTTTAATTCATTGTTTTCTATTTCAAAATTTTCTATTTGTTTACGGTAATTATTCATTTGTTCTTCCATTAATTCTTTATCCTTATTAGATGTACTCAGTTTTGATCTTAAATCATTGAGTTCTTCGTTCATCAATTGTTTATCATTATCAAATGAACTGGATTTTAATCTTAGATCATTGAGTTCTTCTTCTAATAATTGTTTATCTTTATCAAATGTACTTAATTTTGATTTTAATTCATTGAATTCTTCTTCCATTAACAGTTTATCTTTATCAAATGAACTGGTCTTTAATCTAAGATCATTGAGTTCTTCTTCCATTAATTGTTTATCTTTATCAAATGTGCTTAATTTAGATCTTAAATCATTGAGTTCTTCTTCCATTAACTGTTTATCCTCATCAAATGAACTGGGTTTTGATCTTAAGTTGTTGAGTTCTTCTTCTAATAATTGTTTATCTTTATCAAATGTACTTGATTTGGATCTTAAGTTGTTGAGTTCTTCTTCTAATAATTGTTTATCTGTATCAAGTGTACTTGATTTTGATCTTAAATTGTTGAGTTCCTCTTCCATTAACTTTTTATCTTTATCATATGAAGTGCTTTCTGATCTTAAATTTCTGAGTTCTTCTTCTATTATTTGTTTATCTTTATCAACTGAACTGGATTTTAATCGTAAATTATTGAGTTCTTCTTCCATTAATTGTTTATCTTTATCAAGTATATTTAATTTTGATCTTAAGTTATTGAGTTCCTCTTCCATTAATTGTTTATCCGTATCAAATGAGCTGGACTTTAATTTAAGATTGTTCAGTTCTTCTTCCAATAGTTGTTTATCGTTATCAAATGTACTTGATTTTGATCGTAAATTGTTGAGTTCTTCTTCCATTAATTGTTTATCATTATCAAATGAATTGGTTTTTGATCTTAGATCACTGAGTTCCTCTTCCATCAATTGTTTATCTTTATCGAAAGAACTAGATTTTAATCTTAGTTCATTGAGTTCTTCCATTAACAATTTATCATTGTCCAATGTGTCTAATTTAGATCTTAAGTTATTGAGTTCTTCTTCCATTAATTGTTTATCATTGTCAAATGAACTGACTTTTAATCTTAGATCAATGATTTCTAGTTCTAGATTTTCAATATACTGTTTTAGATGAAGTTTTTCTTGTTCATCTGATTGTTTTTCATTTTGAAGATTTTCAATAGTATTTTCAGTTTCATTTAATTTATTTATGAAATCTTGCACAGCATTAGTTGATGATGAACGAAGATTTGACAGTTCATTTTGAAGATTCTAAATCACACACAATATATACAAATACACATATGTGAATTGAAAATAAAATGTTTGTAGTTACTAATATTTCATCTTGTAGATTTTTACATGATAATTTCAATGATTCATTTTGTAACCCGAAACATTCTGATGATTCACGTGATATCTATAAAAAAAAAATAAAGTAAAACAAAAATTTGCAAATTGATCTAACATTAAGTTCTTGTTGAAGTTTCGATTCATTGGTTTTATATTGATCAAGGTCGCGGATTAAATTTTTCGATTTTGATTGTTCATCTTCGAGTTCATTACGAAGTTTCTAGAAAAATTACGATAGTGGAAGAAAAAAAATTTCTAAATTGTATTATAACTTCTTCTGTTTGACATAAGCTTATATTAGCAGTTTGTAAATCACTTATTTTAGATTCAAGTTTTTTCTTTAATACAATTTGATTTTTAAATAATTCCATTAATTTATCTGTTGACATTGATTCAAGCTGAAATATTTCAAAATAAACACTTTTTATTTTATAAAACCATATTTCTGGATCATACAAACCTTGCCACTCGATCCTGGTTTTTCATCATTTGTAGGTTTTCCATCGTCACTCATCATCAATTTTCTATTTGTTTTCTTTCTTATATGGAAAAAATGGAAATTTAATTATAAAAAATCTTTTTCATAGTTCATCTAAAAAAAGAAACAAAATGTAACTAAACAATGATTGAACTAGACACAACACGAAGAGTGATATTTCTCTTGTATATTTTACTTTTTGCATACATATAACAACGAAAAAAAAAAAAGAAATATCTGTTCTTTATATCGGATAATATGAACAAACAATAGTAACCAAGGATACAAATTTTAAGTTCATTCAGGTTACAAATACATGTTTCATGTAAAACAAACGAAGCTCTACTTTGTATTTCATTCATCAATTTTTAATATTCGGTAAAAAAAAAATATCAGCTGACAACTATTCTCACTTATATATCAATATCTCAATCAAAATGAATGATAAAAAGTACCAAAATATTCTAGTTATTTTTACCAATTTGTTCGGGAATAAAATATAAACAGATATAAAAAGTAATAGGAAAAAATATTTATCACATTAGAATTAATAAAAAAACAATTTATTCTAGATTGTCATCATGACTAGAACTTAATGATTCAGAATAATTTTCATCATTCTCTTCATCAAATGAAATTACATCAATACAACGGCCAACTTTAATAAATTCTAAACCCTGAAAAAAAACAAAAGAATTTTATTTTTATTAAAATATTTTTATTGTTTTTCCTCGTTGGTTTTTCAATCTTACTTTCCAATGTTTTGGTTTATCAACTAATGGATTTTCTCTTAAATCAACTTTTGTCATATTTGAAAACATTAATAATGTATCATCATTTATTTCAGCAATAGCATTTCGTTGTAAACAAATAATATTTAATGATGAAATTTTTCCAATGATAGATGGAATATGAATAAAATGATTTCCATTTAAATTAAGATATGATAAATTTAAACAATCTTGTAAACAATCTGGTAAATCATTTAATTCATTATCTTCAATACTTAACCAATGAAGTTCTATTAATTGTCCTATATCTATTGGTAATCGTTGTAAATGATTAGATTTTAATGATAACTTTTCTAATTGATTTAAATTATTAAATATATTTAATGGTATATCATATAAATTTATATTTGTTAACCATAATTCATGAAGATTTTTTAATTGACCTAATTGTAATGATATTTGACCAAGTGGATTATGACTAAGATTTAAACGTATTAATGATGTTAAATTCCATAATGTATCTGGTAAGATTGTTAATTGATTATGTTCTAATGAAAGAGTTTCTAAATTGATCAATGATGATAATTGTTCTGTAGGTGGAATAATAAGTTCATTATTATTTAAATAGAGATTTTGAAGAAATGAGCATAAACTAACAGAAAATGGTACAGCACGTAATGAACGATTACTTAAATTTAAACTTGTTTCTTTTATATCGATTATATGTTGAATATATTTTTCAATATCATCATAATCCATTTTTTTTAAATTTCTATTAAAGAAATATCTATCAGATCTACAAATATAATTTATGTTATTATATGAAATTTTTTAAATAATAGTAAATGAAGAGAAAATAACTGATTGCAAGATCTTGTAGTTAGAATAAATGTTGTGGAAAATTTCAAGATTCTATTTGAAGGTAATGATTGTGGTGAAAGTACCTTTAAGAAGGCGATCGATTCTATCCAAGCAATGCGAAGGTTCTGAAAATGCAACGACACACGATATAAGTAAAAAATGGATTTTTACAATACTCAAATTATAAAAAGGATATAAAAAAAAAAGATGGCGACACATACTTTTTACTGTTCGATATGTCAACAAAACAAAAGTAAGTTTAATGGAAATGAAACATAATGTTTGTCGTTTTCTTTGAACACTTTGATAAACTTCAGTAATAGAGAAAATTATTGAATTTATTATTGTTATTTATACTCTTGACCTCAAGTATACATCTGTTAACGACTAATCAAGACCGCATGCCGTATTTTCACAGTATCTAGATATTACCTAAATGAAGATGTGAAAAGAAAACTTTTTTCAAACTAACAAATTCTACAATGAGTGAAACACAGAAAAAAAGTCATACTACTGAAATTTTGCTTCAATTAATATCTAATAGTAGCTTTTGAGGGCGTCTGTTTCTATAACAAGGTGCAAAAGTAGTTTTCTATCCCCAAAAAACACATTCAATATACCTTTTATGAACATGATCCCGTCATGACAATATTTTACTTGATAAAGTGAAAATATAACAATGACAACTAACAATCTGTTTATTTGAATCATGTATTTGTCAGTATTCACTGGCATATTACTATCTCATTACATCTATTGTGTCTCTATTGATCATTAAGAATCGAATGAACTTCTTCATCGAATTCAAGATGCTGATTTAATGGTAGTTTTGTTAGTGAAAAGTGACATAAAACTAGCAAATAGTATGTGTATATTTATGATTTTTGCTGAATAATTTTTTGCTCATTTTGAACGACAATGATAGTGCAGGTGCCAGTTCCATTTTCGAAACACTTAAGTATTTGTGTGTTCCAACTGTTTTCTTTAAGTCAATCTCTTGTTGCAGCAGTAGCATCTTCATTTTCTGCTGACTTTACTCTATCGCTTCGTTGACTGATACCAATAGTATCCATCCCCACACTGTTTCACGAGTAAAAAAATCAATTTTTGTGGATCCTATTAGTAGATCTAGGCTCGACAAGGATGCCTGTTTTCTAGTCGATGCTGGTAGTTTTGTGAACAATACACACGATGACTTTTCATCAAGTGTATACACGAATATTTGCTAATCTACTTACTGTTAACTCTTCATCTTGGAGATGAATTTAATGGCATTCGGCTCATCAGCAAACTTTTAGCAGAAACTGTTGTAGAACATTGATAACTCTTCGAATTCTCATTTTTTTTTTCGTCATTATCTTCTATGCCTTTTCTAATCAGTACTATTATTTATATCAATTGTGCTTTGGGCCAATATCCGTGCTCAGAAATATTTTTGTTTTCATTCCTTTTCTTTTCCGTTTTTTGATACAGGTGTCTGTTCACTTTTTGTTTTTATAAGTCGTGTTTTGTTTCATATCTCAAGTACTCTATTTGTTGATTAAATTTTTTATTAATTTTTCATGCTGAATAAAGTGCTAAAAATGGCAAAGCCGTATTTTCTTTTCTTTTTGCTTAAATTCGAATGATTATGATTTTGGCATGTTAGTTTAAACGGACACGATGTTGAAAATAACTGAGAAGAGTTACAATTAACTTAAATACATATTATGATAGTTGTTTTGTAAAATTTCTATTATCAATATTACAAGAATCAAAATCTTCCTCAATCCTAATATTTGTTTTTCAATTTTGAATTTCAATATCAATGAACAACTATATTCATTAGCAGATGCTTTAATACGAGATATTTACTTTGTCATATATAGGATACTCTATCTATACCATCTAAAAATTTATAAGTGGGAAAAAATGTTAAATATTATGCAACTAATTGAACTTTTATTTTAGAACAATAAAGAAATAAAAACGAATAGGAATGTTTTTTTTTTGTTGTAGTTCTTTTCAATGTTCATGTGTAGTTGTTCGCTTCTTCTGCTTATCACTATGACGTCGATTCTTGAACCATTGCTACAAAAGACAAACAAACAGAGAGTTATAATGCTAAACTGTAAAAAAGAAAACATCAACTTACACGAACTTTCTCAACAGAAACATTCAATTGTAAAGCTAATTGTTGAAGAACATCGATGGATGGATATGAATCTTGAATGTAGCTTTGATGAAGTATTTGAAGTTCATGTTTTTTAAAGCATTGATGTCGACGAAGTGGTGTACGATCAGAACTAGTTGGAATATTGATGTCTATAAGAATAGAAAGAAAGAAATACAAACAACAAACATGGAATACCAGGTTTTTTTATGTTAAAATTTGTTGATTAATTTAAAAAATATCTGATACTTGCGTCTTTGAACAGAAGAAGAGAATATTTGTGGTTGTTGTTGATAATAAGAATATGAAACAGGAGATGTATTCATCGATTGTGTTGAAGATGAGTAGTATAGGTGAGGTGAATGAACAGGACATGCAGTAAACGATGTTGAATAAAAGTATGTCGGTATTGATGGTGAACAATATTCAAAAGAATAATCTGTGGAAGAAGATGAAAAATAGCTGTTGTCCATAATTATTGAAAATAAATATTACAAATATCGATGTGTGTATATGTTCTAGTGTACATACATTTTATACTAGATTGTGTTCTGTATTAACATAATATATGACGAATGTTTCATTTTCAGGAATATATTGTTTATCATTGTTCTTAATTAACAATCGTCATGAAGAAAATTTTAATCATTAGCATATCAATTAACATGAACTATCAACTCATATAGTTATTATCGACAAACATGTCACTATTGTCAAATGAAAGTTAGTCCAAATATTAAAATTTTGTGACAATGAAGAAAATTAATATCTATTAATGAAAAATAGTGTTTAATACTCAGTGTGTGTAAAATAATCAATAAGCACTAAAAATATAACTATGGTATTGTGCGCATTGAATATAATTGTCGTACTATAACATAATAGTTTTTCTATCTGTTTGTCTACTTGTGATATTCAAATCTATTGTGAAAAAGACAAATGAATTCAAAATATTTTAGTGTTCTTGATTTATGACACGTGTTAAAAGCAGCACGCATAAAGATTACTCTTCAAAATGGATGATAATTGAACGAAAAGGTTGAGCAAACTTCAGCAAAATCATAGTGCAATTGGTACATAAGTTCCTCTTGATTTTGCTCCCTATAATTCTCCTTTTTGATGCTTGCTGCTGTTGAATAAATAAGATGGCATTCGAGTTCCACTGAACTACGAATCGTTATGTGAAGCCGATTCGACTGTCGGCTATCGAAAAAAATTGATATATTTGTAAAAATGAACAATCATTTCTAGGGTTGACAACGAAATGTTTTTCTTCAAAACATATTACATTTCTAAATGAAATAAATGAAAATGACTTTTTTTTTTGTTGCAACGTATAGTTGTGGCTTAATGATTTACATCTAGGTTTTAGTTATGATAATGAAGTTTATATTAAATTTATATTTATGTTTTGAAGATGGTCGAAAAAGATCGAAAACTAAACGAATAAAATATAAAGAAAAAAAAAGTAAGTTGTTCAACACTGCATTTATTTTCATTTATATATTCACATTACGTTTTACTGGAATCAGAATTTTTTCGCTTGAAATAGGAAAATTTATGTATCAATCAATCAGCTGATCGAAGTCAGAAAGAAAGTGAAAAGTAGCCTTTACGAAATTCATTACTAAAGAGATGTCATAATATCCATGCACTGGATAACGATGAACTATAAGTCACGACATTTAGCAAAACTGATACCCAGCTCGATACCTACTCATCGCTATCGAGTTTGGTATCCATCTCGATACCCATATATCTATAAAACTGAGGATTTTGAGTGGATTTGGTGTAACGGAATGAATGCTCAACTCGTTACGACAAGTTCACTCAAAATACTCAACTGTATAGATATGTGAGCATCACGATGGATATTCAACCCGATACCCATATATTTCCAGAGTAGAGGATTTTTCAGTGAATTTGGTGTCGGTGTGGGTGTAAATGAGAATGTGAGTACGGATTAGGCTGTAGATCTGGGTGGAGATGTGGGTGTAGTCGTACTTTCGGGGGAAACAGTAGTATGCAGTAATGTTTACGACTGTATCTTCACATAAATAAACTTATACGACCATAATAAACTGAAACAAGAGCCATCAGTGAATCTCTGCTTCCTTATCATAATATATATGTGTTTATGCATATACCTCACATCTGTAACCTTAGACATATATCCTTCAGCCTATATCCATAAACCTACTTCCTAGATCTATACCCTTACACCTGCACACACATGTTTATAACTTAGATCTATAACCCTGCTTACACTATAAAAAAAGCTGCGCAATACGCAAACATTATACTTTAAAAAATCTTCCATAAATCCTTGAAGGGTTCAGTGTATACGAAAATTAATAGGGTATATGACTCATATTTAACGATTTATTATTCAACATTTCCATTAAAAGGATTTATTATTCTACTCACAAGAGTACATTATGCTACGTTTCCATCAGAAGTGTTTATTATTCTGAGCACAATAGTAGATTATTTTACGGTTTATTTTTACGATGTAGTCATCCCAATGGTTGTTCAGCATCTTATGAGAGAAATAGAACAAGATAATTTTGGCTGTGGGTGTGCGTATGGGTGTCAACCTGTTCGTCACTCGCAATGGCACCTACACTTACATCCACACTAACACCCACACCTTCAAGTCATCACCAATAATGGTCGTTCTATGTTCCACGCTATGTCTTAGCATCTCTTTTCTATCATACTATTGCAAAACTTTCAAAGAGCATTTAATCCAATTGTAGACATTTTGGTCAACATATATTATATTGTGCATCTCGAAAAAATTTTCGATTAAAGTTTTTTCAATTCTATCGATTTTCGAAGTCATATATTCTAGAGAAAGAGTAATGGAACAACATGTTTTTTATCAAACGATAGCTAATGAAGTTCTCTACAACCGACATTGAGTTAGCACTGAATCTAATACATAGATTTTTCTAATGGTGATTCTGCCTGTATCGATATTAATGTTATCGTCTGTTGATCTTCTTTTTCTCTTTCCTCTTTATCTTCTCTCTCACGGACTCTCTTCTACAGAAGCGTATACTAATGTGAAGTAGGATGATTCTGGATATACGAAGTAGCTTAATAGACATCATTATCGAGGGTGACGGTAAGTTACTCTTTCATTTTGTCATTATATATACGTTATTCTCATCGTTAGAAAAGTAACAGTCACTTTTTCTAAGATTTATGTTTAGAATATCAGATTTATTCGTTTCAGTTCTAACTGATAACATGCAATTAGATATTCACTAAATTGAACCGAAGGAGCTAACTTGTTATTTGCTTTACATGTATTGCAAGCCTGTCACGAACGGAAGGAAAAGTATTTTGTGTGATTTTTCGAGTGACAAATGGCAATGAATAGCGAAAACAATTGCATGATTGTTACTGATTTTTATTATAGGATGTAACTCCATTATTTCAGAAAAAAAAGGCTAACTAATATGTGGATAGGCACTACTTGTTTAGAATATAGATAGAAAATATATGTGTTTAGGCGAATTTTCGAATTCATGTCTTTTGATACAATTAGAAAAATCATGGTATATATGTGTGTTCAAATTTATGTTTATTGTTAATTTGATTTATTATTAACAATATCTGGTAAAAATGTGTTCTTAAATTTTGTTGTTTTCATTTTTTTGTTATTGTTCGATAATGTAATAGTTTTCTTGTATCTTGCAGAGATTTGTTTTTTGAAGAATATTAAAAAGTCCCATATTTTGATTCGAACCAATAGCATATGCATAGCCTGAACTGTGATAAGCTCTTCCAGCAGTTACATGATTATAATTACTGTCTTTGAAACAGATCTTCTCTGCAAGTGTTGTAGCTTTGACTTCGTTGGACTTTGGACTTTCTTGTGAGTCTTTTACGGCTGAAACTTGATATAGATAATCAGTTGCAGAATTCAAGCCGGTATCTGTATACGATGTAATACCAACATCCACCAGCTTATTTCCATTACGATAAACATTGTATTTTTGTGCGCCTGTAGCTGATTCCCATTGTAAAGTAATAGAATTAAAAGTAACGCCAGTAACTGTTAAGCCGTTTGGTGCTTCTATAGCTGGTGGTTCACCTGTTGTTTTAACACTAACTGAATTTGAAGATGTACTTTCAGCGCCTGTTGATGAAACAGCTTTTACAGTATATGTATAGGTTGTACCAGAATTCAAATTATTGTCTGTAAATATGATGCCATTGATTAGTCCATTGTTGACTTTATCACCATTTCTGTAAACATTATAACCGCTTGCACCTGAAACTTGTCTCCATACAAGAGAAACTGAATTGTCTGTAGTACCAGTGACATCAAGTCCTGCCGGTGCATCGATTGGATTGAAACCATTCGTTATACGATCAATCATTTTTTTCGTAGTAGTCGATTGTTTACCACTTTTAACGTCAAAATCACTTCCATACCATCCAATCCAGTCCCAACATCCATTCGCATTTGGAAGTGATGCTCCACCTCCCATGCTTATTGTATTTGTAGCTATTGCTTGTGGATATAAAACTATGATATTATTGGTATCAGCCCAACGATTGTATCCTGTATTTTTAACGAATTTATCACCAACTTTTTCATACCCTTGTGCACATCCATGGTAGGCTATATGTAATTTACAGGTCTGTCCATCAGCACAGCTTTTAGGTACATAAATCCACGCTGTATCGCTCATTCCAGAACTTCTTGGATTAGTCAGAAATTCTGCTTGACTAAATTCAATAAATTTTCCACTGAGTACTCCATTATTTCTTGGTTTCAAAGGACCGTAAATATGTTCGAGTATAGCTCCTGCTCCATCAAAACCGCAATTACTTATATAAGGACTACTCGTGGATCCACAACCATTATTACCAGCGCTGTCGAAATCAGTTGGGAAAGTATGTGCCGATTGCAAGTCTTTCTTAAACACCACATTTGCACTCGGAATGAATTGACCGTCAGTCACATAATATTTATATAACTGATTCATTACAGAAGTACCAATAGTTGAATCCGAAGTTCCAGAAATCATATAAACTTTGTGCTTTGCAAGATTTTCAATGTTGTCGATTTTGTTACTACTCCATGACATTGTATTTGAAATTGACTTAGCTATAGGTGGAGTGCTCGTGTACATACAACTTGTGTAACTCATTTGAGCTCCACAATCATATGGACCACCTGCTACTATTCCAGCACCTTTTATAGTGGCTGAAAATGCAACTTGTATTTGAGTAGCAAAAAATGCACCAGAAGATAAACCAGAAACTGATGTTTCACTAGGATCGACATTGTATTGAGATAATTTCTAGAAATAATAATATTATTATCGAAAATAGT